ATTGATGACCTTGCACCCAAGATGAGATGCCAAGTATCTGAACTAGCATCACAGAGCAGCACACTGAGTTTAATGGATGTTTCCTTCTGCATCAGATACTTGGCATCTCATCTTGGGTGCAAGGTCATCAATGTTTGGGCTNCCCCAGGCCGCCGCGCCCCCATGAAGAGCATCTCCAGCAGCCTGAAGGAGACCATGAGCCCCGGGGACATGGTCCAGGACGCCATCCACAACTTCTCCCCCGCCTACCAGCAGTACACCCAGCAGGCCACGCTGGAGCAGGGCGTCCCCCCTCCCCTCCCCCGAAACATCAGCTCCATTAGTGGGCAAGGGGGAGACACGGAGAAGACCCTGCTGCTCAGCTCCGACGACGAGTTTTAGAGTAGAGAAACCCCCTCAGACTGTTTGAACAGCGGGTCATCCTCCTGTGTGAATGATTAGAGAGGTGCGTTTGATTTCCTCACCATGGATGTGACGTCTGCACACACATCTCCCCAGCCAGTCTTAGTTAGTGGGAAGCTGATTTGGCAATAAAAAAGTTCCAGAGCAACTGAAAAAGTGTTGTGTTTGGTTGTGAGTCCAAACTCGTACAAACGTGACTTTCTAAACGCACGTTCTCTGGCTCCGATAGAAGCTTGATTTCACATTTCAGCGCTGCCATGTGGCATTTCAATCGTCCTAATGGATGTTTTCCTTTGTAAAGTTTGTTTTGAGATCGTCATGGGCTGTTGTTATCAAGCTCCTTTGGCTGGAAATAGAGAATGTATTGAAGTTTTTATAAGAGTTTTGAGCTTTTAATTGTGTAAAACTAATATTCAGGCTCTCATTTGCAAAAATGTTGGTGAAACAGAAGCTAGCAGTCTTGTGGTACACTCATAATAAAGCAGTACGCAGTCTTGAAGAACATGTGTAGATACCGGTAGATACATTATGATCTAACTGAGGAGACCCTGGTGCATTGTGGGATTTAAAGGGCTGTATGTACTGCAGTGTGAGTTACTGTCAGCTGTATGAAACGTTGTTGTTTTTGTTATAAATGGAGCAGATCAGGATTACACTGATGATGTTTTTCAGGCATGTTTGAAATTGAGGATTAAAAGCCTCTGCAGGACACAATGTAGGTTACAGCTCTAACAGAAACCATAAACAAACCTATTCAAATGTGACAGACGTGATGTGACAGATGTGGCAGACGTATGAAGTCAAACTGGAATTGTAGCATTCCCCATTTTAAGGTAATTAAAAGAAACATACTTATCTAACATACCCACTGCAGTCACTTCTTTTTCAGCCCGTCAGGTTTGAGTTTTAAAGTTGCTTTTAATGACCTAAAGTCTTTTGCTTAACTACTTTGTACTGTTTAATCCTGAGCTGTGGTACATTTTAACGCTAAAAAAAAAACCTGTATATTAGCTCCGTAACAAGAGAACATATATTATAAACGCATTATCAATATGTTACGTCGATTTTCTCACAGTTAAAAATAACTCTTGGACGCTGTTCATTCCTTCCAGGCACTTGTTTTGTTTGATTCAACCGCCGCCGATTGCACATAATTGAAGTTCTTGAGTCATCTGAATGAGTCACATCGAATTCTGCTGACGTGTTTACTGTAACTGCTGCTGTAGCACTGTGTGAACACCAGGGGGCCGTGTAGACAACACACACACACACACACACACACACACACTGTTATCTAGCAGCAGACAGGCAGTTATCACACACTTTAAGCTGGTACACATGTAACTGCTTTGTCTGCCACTTTTTTTTATCTTTATCAACAAAGCACTCTGACACACATGTTTTTTTTTGTTTTTTTTCCTGCTCCCGTCGGACCTGATCATTTGCTTTTAAACGGCACATCAGCTGTGTGTTATTTTAGACATTGCTGAGTGGTGTCTGGTTAATTGGGCCGCTGCATTTTGACGTGAATACAAAGTGGATTATTATTTTTGCCTGCAGACACACGTGACCTCGTGTTCATCTCTAACAGCACGGGTCACTTCATGTGTTTCATTACAATACACTGTCCTTTTTTGGTCCCTATAAATGCATTTAAATTCTGAACCACTGAATATTTTTCGTGCTTCGATTGGTTATATTTGGACATTTTGACCTTACAATAGGCTTGTCACAATTTCCCATTTTAACTACACGATTATTACAGAATTCACAGTAACAATAGAGCGAAGTAAAATAATGCTATCAGTCAAAGTCCTCTTACATTTTTACTTTTAATTGTGTGTTATTTGGCTTTTGATGTGTTAAGTGAGAACAAAGCAAATTATTGAAGAAACTGAAATTATTTTAGAGTTATATTATTTTATTGTGCATTATTTTAGGTATAATGTACGGCAAGCCGGTCTTAAATCACACTAAAGGGATTTATTTTGCAATAACGACCCACTCGCTGTACTTAACTACGCTAATTACACGCCTATTGACTAAAGAGATTACTTTTATTGATTTAAAATTGATTTATTTGTTTGTTTTGCTTCAACTAAAACTCACTGATTGTTTTCCCAGATCGAACTGCGTCCATAGCAACAGTAGAATGCCGTTATCGACCAATCAGAATCAAGTATTCAACAAAGCGACATAATAATATCTAGATGTCATTTTTTTAACGTTACGTTATTATTAATACTGGTTTATCGCATTTAACCTATTCAAACTGAGTAAGATATCGTATCCAGGAGGAACTAAAGCTCCTAAAGACAGGTTTTCTTGCCGAATATAAGAGACTTTTACAATTTTAAATCGACGTATGTTAGTCGTGCCACACTTTTAAATGCCATGTTGGTCTACAGGAGGAGGGATGTGTGTTCAGTCATATATGCTGTATAGGTTATGCACAGGAGAAAAAAAAGACTTAGTTTTGTATTTACTTCATAACTGTCTTTCTTTTTATTATTTCAACGACTGTTTTTGGTTTCTAGTTCTTTGTAAATGATAAAGCAGCTCATGATGCTATTATGTCCTTCAAATGGAGAAATATCTGAAGTTATAATAAAGAATATTTAGTCTATGTTTACCGCTTGTTCATTTTTCCTCTTGGTTATAGTATTTATATTAAGAAACCCACGGTCATTTCACTTTGTTATACTTGTCTCACTTTAAAATGTTTTACTCAGATGTCATAAACCAGGGTTGTCAAACTCAAACACACAGTGGGCCAAAATGAAAAAATCGGTACCAGTCGAGGGCAGGACTGTTTCCATGTTTATTGCAAAACGTATTGAAATGAACTTATTGCACACAGGGCCGTCCCTCCCTACAGGCCGATCATGCAGACTGCCTTGGGGAGGGGGCCTCACCTCGCGGAGGGAGCCGAAAATGTGTGGCGTGGCACGGTTTCGCCGCTGCGAGGCTCCACTAGCACCCCGCCCGCGAAACAGAGGGCCTCATCATATAACTTTGCGTGGGGCCTCATGTTGGCCAGGGACGGCCCTGATTGCACATATTAAACCTGGAACTAACACGGCTTAAATGATTGCCTCTAAAAACAACCTCAGAAAGGGGACCTATCATGCAAAGTGCACTTTTGTACGTCTTTTTTACATGAATGTGTGTTAGGGAACTCACCAAGTGTCAGAAAACACAACCCTCTCTCTTTTCCTCCGTACCCAAATCTCTAAAAACGGGGCTGCAACGGATCTGATACAGATTTGAAATTGTTCTGACGTCAGAAACGGGGAACTCCGCCTATATGGGCAACTCTCCACCTATCAGGGGAATGAGAGGTTGTGTGGAATGGCAACAGCATGGTAACATAACGCTCGTGCCTCGCCCCCCTCCTTTGCAGGGGGGCGTGGTCAGCTGCAGCTCATTTGCCACAGAATCAGCCCTTGCAAAAACAGGGCTGGAATACAGCAAATAGAGCGAAATGAGGCATGGCTAAAATGCATGATCTGTTTGGCATTTTGAAAAAAAAACTTCAAAGACATGTTTTATATAGGTATGGCCCTACAATATATGATTCAAATATAGCATGATAGGTCCACTTTAAATAATCAGCTGCATTCATTTGTTATGGCACTATCTGCAGCTTTTCCCGAGTCATTTCTTATGATTACATTTTCCCACAGGCCAACAACAGCTTCAACAAAACTATTTCCCTCAAAGAGAAACCAAACATGCCCTGTTGTCGTGAGAGAAAGTGCAGAAGGAAACATCCATTAAACTCAGGTTGCTGCTCTGTGATGCTAGTTCAGATACTTGGCATCTCATCTTGGGTGCAAGGTCATCAATGTTTGGGCTCAAGCTCTGAGCTGAGGAGACCCTCAGGATGGAGTGAAGGTGTGCGTGCAATATACCGGCGGGCCAGATCTAATAGTAATTAGAAATTATCCTGAGGGTCGAAATTAAATCCACCAAGGGCCTGGAGTTTGACACGTCAGAAACCCTTAAAAGTGTTAAGATGTATTTAGATTCATATTTCCCTGTCACTAAGTTCAAACTTTTATCTAACAGTTGTTATTATTTCCAAACATTGATGTCTTTTTTCACAAATGTTAACCATTTAAATGCCAGTTTAAGTGTTTTTATGGATAAAAAAACAATATTATTTCCTGTTTATTAAACGCTATGGGGTGTTTTTGCAGGCTTGGATATGTTTATAATTGGCTGCAAAATTCCCGTTATCAATTTTTTTTGAAGGAATCCAGGAATATAGCACGAAATTATCCTCTCGTGCAAATTTGAAAAATGTCTTTATTGGGAGGAAAAATATAAAAAATTACAATTTTAAGCCTGATATATGAATAACAATAATAGCTGGGGGATAGAAAAATGGTGGTTTATTGTCTTCAAAGGATCCAAGTGTCTGTATCTGGCCACACAGTTTATTATAGGAGCTTAACATTTATTAAAAAAAAGACAGATTAAAAAATATTTAAATGCCAAAGATCTCCCTAGTGAGGCTAAACGTTTATTTATATTTGAAATATTAGCACTTTTTACCATAACTTGTGCGACGCAACCACAAACACCATGTTATGTACAATATGTACAACATTTATTATAATTAATATATAAAATAGACAATGTACTTAAATTTTCACAATAGAAAAAATACAAGTAATAAATACAAAAAACATTTTTTTGTTTTGCAAAGTATTACAAAACATCCAGCACAGTTCGACAGATGTGAGACGTTAACAGAGAATAAATGCTTTGCCACACCGATATTCATATAGCTAAATATATGCCTCATATCTGAAGGAGTTACTCGTCCACAGACTCATGTGTTACTCCGCCGCTCAGAAACGATATTGCTCGCACGATTCAGTGGCCGACGCTCCAAGAAAGCCAGTTTTAGCTCATTTTGGCTAAAACGTGTGAGATTTTCAAGTGAATAAAGCACCACCTCTTCTCCTCCTTCTCATCCTCCTTTCCTACTTCCTTTCTCCATCTTCCAACAAAACAACTCCTCCACCTTCATCTCTCCTCATCCTCATCTCCACCTTTTCCTTTAACATCCCGTGGACCCGTCCACCCAGCCGATACAGAAGTGACCTTAATTTTTTCACACAAATAAAACATACAAATATCATCATAGAAAAATAATATCCCTCCAAGAATCCACTATGACAAGCCAGTACACACACATGGCAAAAAACACACACACGGAAATCATCATCATCATCATCATCATCATACAGCAATATGGCCATTGGCTTTGAGCATATCTTCTACATAGCTAATAATTAACATTTTTTTGTAAAGTAATCATCGTTGCCACACATTAACACAATAATTAGACATGAGAATATCCCCGGACTAGTCATAAGTACTTCTGAAAACACATAGAACATCACAGCACTCGTTAGCTTGTCTTTTCATAACGTCTACCTTTAAATACAAATAAAATATAGAATATATCTCTGATAAATGTCACTCAACATTTTCGTCTCTCAACGGCACGTACGAACATTACAAATAAGAACACAGAACGGGAATGTATGCGGAGGGTTTTCTGCATCCACTCGAGTGTAATTCCTACCAGATGCCACTCCGCTCCTTTGTAGCAAAAATGACCAACATGTGCTGTTGGGAGTCGACCAGATATTTAAAAAAAACACAAAAAAGGAAGCCGCAGCAGACTTACTGCACAGTAGGGATTGTGTAATGAGCAATGCAGGATTACAGCTCCGAGACATTTAAAAGAAATGAACAGTTAAACTGAGCGGTTACAGTCTGTTTCCCCTCTTAGGTTCTTCTACTGAAGGCACTGCATTAATGTGAGAAATGTGAACACAAGCAGTACAAAAACGACACTCCCCTCACGCGAGGAACAGCGAGGAAGTATCGGCAGGTGAATCCCAAACAAAACAAGAAAACGCAGAAATGTCACTGATCATTTTTGCAAACGCAGCGTTTCTCAACCTATTCCTGGACTCTCACCACGTTAGCACTTTTTTTTTTTTTTTTTTTAAAACAGTGCTCTCTTGGAACCCGCCTGCATATCAAGTGACACTGAGGTTGAGAAACTCTGCATTAACGATTAACAAGAGTCTCACTTTGGGACACTTTGTTGCACAGTAGCAGAGACACAGGACTGCAGGTGTGTGGAAGAAGCAGAAGCAGCAGCAGGACTGGCTTCACTGGACAGTCTCTCTCTCTCTCTCTCGTCTTCAGTCAGAGTTTATCCTGCGATGCCGCCTCGTTCACATGAAAACTGCTGCGTCTTATAATCCTAAAACAAATGTTCAGTCGTGGTGAGACAGTGGAGGACGCCTCCACCCGTCCTCTGGATAGAACTAAACATATCTGCGTATTTGAGCATGTGAACGAGGCGAAACGCAGTACAAGTGCTTAGTATTTTCCTACTAATAATATCCTGTGTGTAGTTTGTGTGTTTGCATTGCAGGTTGTGTGTGTCCTCCTCTCCTCCCCTCCTTCCCTCAGTCCCTCAGCTCCTTCTAGGACGGCTCCTGGTCTCTCTGTGCCCCCCGCTGTGCCGGACTCTTGACGATGGTGATGACGGAGGCGGTGTTGAGTCGTGGTGCTGTGGCGAGGATGTTCCCCCCCCCGCCGCTCTCTAACCCCCGGGCGAACCTCTGCAGGGCGGCCAATCGAGCGCCGAGCCCCTCCAGCTCCTTCCTCATGCCGGCGTTCTCCACCCCGAGCCGCTCCACCTCCCTCTGCAGCTCCGTCTTCTGCAGCTCCAGAGCCTCGCGCTGGGACACCCGTTTGACCCGGCAGCTGGCGGCGTAGCCCCGGTTCTTCAGGGTGCGCCGGCGCTGCTTCAGCTTCTGGATCTCGTCGCGGGACATGCCGCGCAGGTGGAGGTTCAGCTCGCGCACCGTCAGGGACATGAGCTCGTTGTCGGACAGGACGGGCACGTTCTCACCGCACTCCTGCTTTACCTGGGGAGGGAGAGGAGAGAGAGTTAGGAGAGTAGAGCAACAACAGTGGTGGGCAAAGGGAATCAGATCTACTTAAGTGTGTGGAAATAAGTTAAAGTCCTGCAATCAGAATGTTTACTTTAGTCAAAGTCAACTTTATTGTCAATCTTTCAGTTTGTGTGCACAGACGGAGAGATCGAAATACCGTTTTCCACAATCCAAAAACAATTGTTTATAAAAATATGTTTAAAAATATGTATATCCTATAATCACAATCAACAGACACATGTATACATATGCACACATTAAGACCTAAATAAAAGCACAACAATCAATATATACAAAATAACAGTCACTTCAATATCTTTGAGAATGTACATTAGTGCAAGACTGTCCATAGCAGCGTAAAAATAAAGTGTCTGGTGCTGGATGTGAGTGTCTGTGTGGGGGGTGTTGAATTCCAGTGGGTTCTTATTATGCTTATTAACAGATTCATATTTGAAAATACCCCAATATCAGTAGTGGATAGATATTGTAGGCTTACTTTTTCAACAACAATAATGTTGATATAATGTCTTAGTCGCTAAAGGCAAATAACATAACGGCTAGAACAGTCTGTTAAGTTCAGACAAAGACATCCATTTACTTTAAAGAGTCCTCTCCTGCTGAGGTTCAGGTGTATATCAGTATGTAGTGTCTCTACTTTAAAGAGTCCTATCCTGCTGATGTTCAGGTGTATATCAGTATGTTGTGTCTCTATTTTAAAGAGTCCTCTCCTGCTGATGTTCAGGTGTATATCAGTATGTAGTGTCTCTACTTTAAATAGTCCTCTCCTGCTGATGTGCAGGTATATATCAGTATGTAGTGTCTCTACTTTAAAGAGTCCTATCCTGCTGATGTTCAGGTGTATATCAGTATGTTGTGTCTCTACTTTAAAGAGTCCTCTCCTGCTGATGTTCAGGTGTATATCAGTATGTAGTGTCTCTACTTTAAAGAGTCCTCTCCTGCTGATGTTCAGGTGTATATCAGTATGTAGTGTCTCTACTTTAAAGAGTCCTCTCCTGCTGATGTTCAGGTGTATATCAGTATGTAGTGTCTCTACT